ACAATGATTACTGATATTGTTGATAAAACCATTGATAAGATTAACGAATAATGACGAAACCGAAGATGTTGATGGTATGACGACCAATAAATGAAACGAATATTAAATAGTATAGAAATTATTGATACAAATATTATAATTGATCCTATTATGCGACTAATTAGTTAAGCATTCGAAATTATTTACTTCATGAAATAAAATGCCAAGACATAATGTCACATTTGAAGCCATTATTTAAAAAATGACAACAAATATAACACTATGTCTATGTATATTTATAGGTACACTTTCTTCTAGGAAAAATAACTAATTATCTCGTTATTATTTTAGTTACAATAACAGAACAAACGTGAGAAAAATGTTTTTTGCAACCACATATATGTGCATGCTTAATTGATCAATTTGAGAAGATGCACACACTCATATACACGATTAGCAAAAAAAAGAAAATGAGATGAGCATTATATGTTAGAAGTTTCTACTGAGTGAAAAGCGCTGAGTTTTAGATAAACAAAAGGATCATTAGTATACAAAATGTCCTCCATAGATTATAAATCTATGGTTAGAGTTTGATTGTGGGTGTAGATCAGAGCTGCTAGCCTGGTCTGCTGCTTGCCAGGCGCCTGGCAGGCAGCAGACCAGGCTAGAAAATATTTGAGCTGACCTGCAGGCCAGGCCAGGCTAAAGTTCTTAGCCTGGGTATGTTTTAATACTAATATTTACAATATTCAATTCTAAAAATAAGACGACTTCACGAGTTGATGATGATTGCCTCTGATATTTTCTGTTGATCATCAAGTCAAATCAGTGTTTTTACACATTTTATAAGATTTTTTGACTGTGTTTGTTACTATTAACTTTCAGTTCTCGGACATTTAGAATTTTTCAATCTCTTTTTGGATTTTCTCCTTTGATGCTACACAACTACAATTATTTCTAGTACTTTTTTGTGTCAAAACTATTTAAAATTCTTCTTACTTATTCAATCTTATACTAAGGACAATCGCGTTACTCAGTTAAAGTGCGTCATGTTTTCAAGAGCTGGTCTAAACTAGAACGGAATTCAGAGTTTCGTTTAATGAAAATGATGGTGGATTAAATCCTGTCCACTCGTAAAATTATCGTGTGAATAAAAGTCATCAAACCGTAAGATTAGTAGAAGGTTTTCAGCTAGTTTTGAGAAGCTCTCATTCGTACGTATCTAAGATTGAAGATATCTTACATATCAGCAAATGTTCAAGATAATCGATATTTTCCATATCTACGTAGTTATAACTTTATTTCAGAAAAATTCAAATATCTCCACATAAATTCCTAAATTTCAACATCTGCCTGATTGACTACATATTTGAAAGTGTTCCATTTCAGAACTCAGGCCCATATTCATGTGTCAAAGATTTTCTTAAAACCGATCTTAAAATTGATTCACGAATGCTCTTAGTTGAGAATTGGTATACTATATTCTATTGTTTTTATGAAAAAAGTCGGATCACAAATTGAAACGTATACAATGGATTAATGCAAATTTGTAAATTTCATAATAAGCTCCTCCCCGGAATAAAAGCCCACTTGGCTTCTATCCTGTTTTGAAAATTATCAGTTTCAAGGTGGGCTTCTATTACGTCTCAGTTTTTTGCATCTCACGGAAAATTTGAAACGTTGCTTTCAACGAAAATCGCACTAAGCTATTAGTAAATGTATTAAAATTCCTGAATCAGTGTATAAATCGAGTGATGTTCTGAATTTTTAGAACTTGTGGAGGAAGTGGACTATTTTGCCAAATAATTTTTCAGAAATTTTCAAAAATTCAGGAAACTTTCAGAGTGATTTTTGAAAAGGTTTTAAATTTAAAAAAAATTTTTTGTAAATCATCGAGGAAAAATCCAAAACTTTCCGAAAATTGGGATAAGGTGATAAGGGTGTACCAGTTTAAAC